GATGGGGCCAGTACACGTAACGCACAAATCATACAAGTAACTGAGATGAAACCTGAGCCAGATTGCGTACAACGCGATGAAAACACAGATACCAAGCTTCCGGTAGAAATATTGCAAAGGCTGAACCGGAATACCGTGCCTCTCGAAAAAAACTTAAGAGGTTTAGTGTTGAAACCACCGAAGATCAATAAAGCTGCTCTGAATCTGTTCCACGTCATTGCAGGTAATCAGGCAGTCTCAGCATTAGCCGTTTTACCCGCTTCTAGGAAAGACTGTCTGATAGCGACCGAATGCAGGGAACGAGTCGGGTGAAAATCTCTTCGCAGAATGAATGGTTCTCAGTAAAGATGTAATGGTGAAGTTCATCATTTTCGAACAATTCGATCCTCACCAATGACTTCCGTCAAGCCGATAGCCATCATCTGTCATTCTAACCTATGGGTTTGTCCAAATGTGCACTGTCGTTACGGGCATTACCCACAAGTGGTACCTAAAGAATAGCGTTGTTTGCTGAACGATGATCAGCGTGTCCTGTGTGGGCAAACAGTGCCCGTGAAAATGCAACAGAGTCTATTAGAGACTGACATACGAATGAAGTTAAATCGAAGTTTTCCATGTTCGGAGATCCGTGTTTTTTGCACAGTGCGGGGTTTCATGGGAAAATTGAATCGATGGGCTTCAATTTTCCACAGGTAAACGCGGAATGTACCATATTTTTGTGGGACCGGCTTTATTACTTTGCACTTCGTGTATCAAAGCAAACCAGATTTATCGATCATCCTAGTCAGGAAGGTCATAGTTGTCATGCCCAAACCGCGAAAGAATTATTGCAAACTTTTGTCTGACCATCTGTCTTGGGTTCAGGCTTTCACTGTGAGACTAACGATGGGGCCATCTGCACATCTGTAAGGTTCGACTGTGTTTCTGAGGATCAGTTTATAGACTAATGAACAATCTGCTATCTATCCACTTTAGCAAAGTCTTCCCTTCAGTAATCCCGCTCCCCCTCTAAATTTAACAAACGACATCATAAACCCGACTCACTCTAATTTCATACATGTGATCCATCATGGTTCAACGAAAAAAAAACTAAAAAAACGCCAATCCCAACAACGTGCTGAAATTAAAATCCGACAAATGCTTTGGTTGTTGAACACACACAGTGATTCCCCTAGGGAAGGAAACGACAAGTTGATATACGTGGCTAAATATCCCGTCATGTGACTGATACATGCTATGGTTCGTTCCCATCATACAATTGAAACAGTGTGATGAGAACACTAGAGCAAAAAACATCGTGTTGAAATGGAAGGACAGTGGATGCACCAGCTTCAGGTATCGAGGCGCGTTTCGCACAACAATCACCGGTGAAGAGACAGGACAACAGTGTTTGTCTTAGTTTAACTGTATTGTCATAAATCAGTAATTTAACCATTGTCACACATCTGTCTCGGTCTATTGAGGCAAGCCAGGAAATCAAGCCAGATATCAGGCTATACACATGTCGCGACCCAGAGGGTCACGCAGTTTGTCTACAGAAGGATAGTGGATGGCAGCTTTGGTGTGCCTGGGTTGGGCATTCATCGGCACACCATGGGTGAAATGCTTTGGGTTGAGAATAGTCTAAGTTGACACAGTGAAGTAAACCAAATTTCACATTTAGTTGCAATAAGTGCTCGAGTTTCCATCAACCTCATGTTCTGATTGAACACAGATCGACTAATACACTCATTAGCAAACCAATTTGATTTTCATGAGAGACTCAACTGAATTCATCGTTCATGGCACTCTTCAGTTGAATGTGCTACACAACGTAAGAACAAACAACCCATGCGGGTGAAGTTAGACATTAGAATATAAGGAAAATGATTGCTGGCAGATAAGAACGCATTTACCTTAACCCGCTTGCGAAGTGTGACCTTGTTAGCTATACTATCACAGTAGAAATATGCAATGGTAGAAACCATGAATCCAGGGACTGTAGTGTACAGTGATAGGTTAGCAATCTGACGGTCCGTTTATGGGAAACATGGAGAGGGATTGACACAATACACTGGAAAAACTCCACGCACAAGATAAGTTAGGCAACGTGTGGTTTTCGCCCAATCGACTTTCGAGAACGAACATGCGAATCAATCAATAACGGGTAGAACAAATCCATCAAATGGATATAACTGACGCAGACCAATCAAGTTGGTATCGAAATTTGAATAGCCCTGAACAGCGCATCTTGACATACCGCTACATGACTATGAGGTATAGAATTGAGTTTCGGTGAATTTGCGCGACTTTTATCTCCTGATGCCGCTTTGTGGCAGATGGCATGAATTACGCAAAGTTCAAGACAGTATATACTATACGGCTGCATGAATTCTCAAAGTTATTTGACGAGATAAAAGTAGTCCAGATTGACAAGTTATCATTTTTGGCCACTCCAGAGACGCAGCTGTCGATCTGATACTGAGGATGATGATGAAGAAGAGGTCCTTTTACCTCGGCGTTTCACTAGCACAGCAGCATCACCTCACTGGATATCCCTATTTTTGAAATTCCTGCTTTTACGGCCAAACATTTGAAGGTCACACTACAGTTTCATGGATTCCGTCTGGCACTGCAAACCATATCACCGTAAGTCCGAGAGAGTGCAAGTTGTGCTATGGTGGATGGCGAAGCGAGATGATTGGCTAAGCGCGGCTTAGCGTGTTCAGCCTGATCAGAAAATAAACAATATTTTACCACTTCACCATGGCTTTAGAGACAGACAGAAATCCCATGGGCACAGAAACATGAATTTATAGCAATTCACGGAACGAAAACTGTAATGCGGATTAGTGCGGGAAAGTTAATTTTCATGGTGCTAGTTACTCATGAGTAGTCTAAGTGACTTCCTGGTTCGAGTTGCTTTTCCCTTGGATAAGAAGCAGTGTCATTCAGTGTATGTTGGTAAGCCAATTGAACGCACTTATGAAGTCCTCTATTCCTAACCTACGTAAAGAAGTATCCCTCATTATTACTCCAACTCTGATGGGTTGCTGACAGAAATGTTGCATGCTAACTTACGTCAGTTTGGGACATTTCTCTTCACATCAGTCCAACGCCTATAACTGTACGAAAGGCAAGATGAAATAAGGAGTAGAACAGAAATAAGCTGTTTTATGAGTTGCATCAGAGACGCACCACATCGATTTGCAGTTTTTTTTCCTTTTGAACACTCTGAGGATGGGTTGGACAAAATACGAAAAAATTTCAAACACGTCACACCAGATTGCACTCTGTGTACGGAAGGCAGTAACCGCTCGGCCAAGGGTCAGTCACTGGAACAGCCAAAATGGTCTTGGTTGGATGGAGACGTCTGCATCGACGATTAACTAGGTCGCTATCGCAATGTTCGACTTTTTTCAGTAGATGATGAAAAGCTGAAACTGGTGAAATACACATGGGACACCGTATGAAGCCCCCAAAGAACAGACTATAGCATATGGGAGCTTCCTTTATCACCAGCAAAAACCCAACCTTAAAATACGTCAAAAGGATCAAAACGTATGATAATGAACGCCTGCGTTTTCATGTGAAATTTTTGAGGTGAGCAAACTTTGTATCGCAATACTGGAACAATCTATAGCAAAATTAATTTAGACTTTCCTTGCGCTCTTAGTTGCGCAAGACAATATTCCACACACACAAAATAGTCTCAAAAAGCCACAGTGTTCCGTTGCAGGAATGACTGCAACATTGCAGACGAGTAAAACTGCCCCCGAGGGGGGCATTGGACACATAAGCTCAATCGTACCATTGTGATTATTGTCTACATCGTAACTAGCAAGAGTTTCAAGAGGTGTTCCGAACAGGAACGCTTAAGGCCAGCTTGCAGTCACTGCAGCCGTGATTACGAACTTAGATGTAGCAAGAATAACTTTATTTTATCCAATAACAGCACCCAGTTGTCTGCCCTATCATTCAGGATAGCCTCATGGGAGCAGCCTTCATTACTGTACTGGGATCCAGAAAGATAACTCTTCATATTATATCTGAGAGGTCACTAGAAGAAACCAAACAAGAATCGCATGGAAATCCGTTTATACCTAGAGGGACCTAATTACTGGAAGAAACCCAAATGGACTAATCAGAATGCTGACTTAGGTCTCCTTCTAACAGATGACATGTATCATCAATACAGTCATCAATAGGCGCTTAAGGCACAGCGTAACATGGGACCTCACGTCCGACTTCAAAGCATTGCCTAGTGACTACTCTAAAGCCATAGCTGATTTGTATAAAGTGCGGGAACTCTTTCGGTTTCCCTTGCCATTACCAACGGATGTTTGTATCTAGTCGTGTGTTTAGAAGCTGAATATTTCCATTAAATTGTGATAACAAACTTGTGGGCTGGAAAATCGCTCGAGTGGTTCACTGTTCAGGCGAATCCATCAAGAACTGAGGAACAAAGTAGCTCCAAGCGGTGTCCTCCAGATCGGTGCGACAGCCCACTCATTGGTTCACGATAGAGGAACCCTGGGATTCAAAGATCATTATCCCCTCACAAAGAAGCGATGAACGGTGTTGCATTACAGAAGCCCTAGATGGTGTTCCAAACCCCGCTTAGTGTGAATAGTTAGCCAACAGAACCTGTTGTCACCAAGAGGCCTCCCTTGTTCGGTCTGAGGTGAGACTCTGTCGCTTCTCTGAGGTGGCGCAGGAAACTTGACTGTGATACCCATGTCTTTCCCACACACACTTCTCTGTCACCATTTTTTAAGTACAGGGAACTTCGATTTCACGTCCTTCGCATGTTAGCTCCGAGGCGACACCGTGTTGTATTTTCGTAAGCCCTGTTTATCTACACACACTATTCTACGATAGCGGAATCAGCTGGGACATCCGATGAAACAGTTTGGCAAAACGTTTGATGACTTTTGGCAGCAGCATTTGTGGACTCTCACTGTGAGACAGCTTTTTTTGCAGACTTTTTGTTATTCAGTAGTCAGTCCTGGTTAATTCACCTTGGCCAGGAGCATTGCGATTGGTGCACACTGGGTAGTTTGTGTTTGGTGGGCACTTCGTCGGTGGAGCGACGATTGAGTGTTCCGTTTGCCTCTTCAGTCGTCATTATTTGACCAGCATCTCAAAGTTCACTTTTCCAACCTCATTGCCGGACTGAAGGGCACAGAAACAGTCGGAAAGGGTGTGAATAGTAATCAAGATTTGTAGCTGTCTCCAAGGTAGAAGCCACCCATGACCAGTGGTCAATACATTCCTCTCGGACACCAAGGTGAAGTTTGAACTTTGCACGCACCGCATCCACTCTCGGTCTCTGCCCCATGGTGGGACCCACAGTCCTTGACAGACAACGCCCATGAGATTCTACCAGGAAGTAGTCGATTTGGGAAACAGTGCAACCACCACTGAAATGCCAGATGACTTGGTGCAGCCTTGGATTCTGAAAAAGTGTTAGACATCACAAGTCTATCGGACACCATTTCTGCAGTGCTATCCTAACCCGACTGTCCGGACGCGCCCAGACATGGAAAAAAAGCACATGCGCAGAGTGACGCATCCCCAAGGTCACCATCGGTACGACAGGTCCGGAAAGTAGGTGAGTTGGTGGCTCTCACCAAACACGGCTTAGCAACATACGACGAGCGAAGTGGGCCTGTGAGTGTTCACGACCGGGACACCGCCATTGGCTGTACGGAGCGAACAAGTGAACGACCATATTTGGGCATTTAGTCATCCTATATATTTACGCAGACGCTCTGTATGTCTTGTCCTGACAATACAGCCGCGTCTGGGGTTCTCTGTCTTCTCCCTATCGCGTGGTCTGGCAGGCTCAGTGCATGCGTAACTAATAGACGGCCACCCACGATACAACACCGACTTTCTCAAAAATGACTAGTGGAGTCGTTTGAAACTCCATGTTCCAGCGTTCTCACTTCACGTTCTAGCCACCAGCGACCGTCGTCATATAGCGGTTGAATGTACGGTTGGCCACTCTTTATAACCAATCGTAGACGTCGTCCTTGATGAATAATTATTGGCGTAGACGGCTATAACAGTTCAATGGAGAACTTCTAAAACAAGCAGTAGTGATTCTAAATGACATTTGCTCTCATGATATCAAGGTGTCTTGGACGCATCTGGCAAAAGCAAGAACTACATGGTGCAAGCTTAATTTATCCTTTGGACTGCTTGGTACAGCCACCAGGGTAGCCCCATCATTTGTAATTTGATATGTTTTGAACCAAAATAGAGAATCGTTTCTCCGCAAGGCATGTACTGCAAGTCTGGTAATCTAGGAGACTGCGTACGATGAAACTCCAGGTTCCCATGTGAAACAGAGTAGGGATATTCTAACTACCCATAGAGAGCGCGTTCCTGATTTTTGGAGATGAGGAGGACTCTGCTTGCACATTTGTTACCGCAAGGCCTGAACCAGCACCACCGCCGACGCCATAGAGTGAATAGAGCTTGGCATTCTGAAAAGAGTCACAGACTAACAAGGAGATATGTGCGTCAGTGATGATCCCAGAGCAACATGGCTTTTATTCGAGGGTTTACGGCTATCGTTTGTGCAACCAAGTGCAGGTTGCGGGGTGGCAGGGAGAAAGTGTCGTCAGAAAGGCTGCTTGATCATTGGTCAATGTCATCCATCCACTCCGTCAGATCTGGCGTTTGTTCGAGTTCGCTCCTCCAGCCCTTGTACATTCAGGTGCAATCCACTGGACAGCAAGATTCCATGGTTGCGGATGACCGTCACACGCTCTGTACTCTTAATTCTTTAGGACTAGATACCAACCAGGAGTCCGTGTTCTGGTGCCAGTTGAACTCCTCACCACGTTTCGATATCATTATTGGGCCCATGTGGCATCTCATAGGAGACCTGGGTGACAGCCGAGATTCCATCAGCTGTCCTAGTGGAACCCCTTCCAGAGCCTCGTTAGCATAATGCAACAGAAATCGCATCGTGGCTTGCACCGTCACACCTTGATGAGGAGCGAATAACAAACTTTGTGACGTACTGGTCAACTTCATCCTCGTAAAAACAGTCTACCATGACTCCTGAGGTAACTCATTCGTATTGTTATGGTGGTCGTATTCTGGAGGAAGCGTTAGGCTATCTTGTGATTACTCCTCAGAACCACAAGGTCATATTTGAGGAGGGATGGCTCTGAATGAATGTTTTCAGACAGAATGAGCATCTGAGCTGCAATGAAACTAACGCCACTCAAACAAGTGATAGAATTTCCGAAAGTCAACTAGCCATCTATCCTCAGTCCAGTAGTGGACTGCGTCCATACCATAATTTAATGGAATTTTCAAAAGATCCCTGGAGAAACAAACAAATTTGCGCATATGAGAGAATTGGTCGTAATTTGCTGGAAGGGGACCAAGAATTCAGCTCTTTTGCAGGGCACATTCGTTCGTACTGTAGGAGATTCTCTAGTGGAAAAACTTTAGACGAAAGAAACACTGTGCATCCACAAGCCGGATTTTCACTGCTGTTTTCAAAGCACAGGAGTGACAAAGTTGCTGTTCATCATAATGAAACTGGTGCTTGCTTTTACAGTCCGTAAAGTGACCCTTTTTAATTGGGCATAAGTAAACCCGAAAGTGTTCTCCCTGAAGCAGAAGGCTTCCGGGTGTTCGAGCGCAGCTACTCTATCCTGTCTGTCATAAAGCTTTCCACTGAACACAGTATTCAGTCAGTTGGGGAATTTATCAACCGTATTTTGGTTATTTCATTGAAGCTTAATCCGCCCAAATGAATTGAATGTGGACAGTCACGTGGAGTGAATGGCGCTGTTTGCTGCTACAACGCCAAGGCTCCAGTCCTACCGGTGAACCTCATTTTGCTCCTGTTAACTTCGAACCATAACTGTCGTTTCGTGCACACGGAATTTACAATGCTTCCGCTATCTCCTGATATGTTATCGTCATGTTGCACATACCACACTTAATGATAGGGCACCAAAATCAATTTTTGAATTTTGAATTTTAAACGCTTGCCTTCTTTCAAGTTCGAGTGGTTGCCTTCCTATCCTGGAAGCCGGGCCCCTACAGTCTATTAGAAATCGTGACGTGAAATTTCGTGCGACACCCACATATTACATAGACTTCACAAATCGGTTCTTTTCTCCCATGTGCATTTGCGTGTTGGGATTTGGTCATTGGACTAGACGCACGTGAACTCCATGGTAGAGTAAGCAGCAAAGGGGGTGGGTTCTTCTACGTTCGATTAGTAACGGGCTACTTGGTCTCAACCGTCTTGGTCCCGCAGACACACCAGCCTATAGATCCCATACATACTTCGCTTTAGAGATCGCTGTTGCTCTGTTAATTCCAAAATGACTTGGTTATTGGCACCGTCATCCGGAAGATGAGGTGTGTTCAGTACGGCAGCTCGAGTGCTTCCGTGGGTGCTACCCAGCTAGTGATCAGTAAGCCAAAGGAGCGGAAAAGGCGGCCGGCTGCACACACGATTCCCAAGAGGGAAGTGTAACCAACACATTACGGGTTGACGTTGTGGTAGTGTAGCAGCAACGGATTGTATCCGTAATTAGCTTTTGGCAACTCAACCGTGATAATGCCATTGGAATAAGCTATTCCCTTAATGTGCAACCGGGCTCCATAACAAAGTTCAGTGTGGAAGATCTATCCACCGACGTCTGTGCTGCAGAACCTCCGGCAGCTGCCATTATCGAAGTTCCGCATGGCTACAAATTGAGGTTGAAAATACAGGAGTTGTCGCACATTTCCGCTGGCTTGGACGAGTTATCTGATCCGGGCTGCCTACAAATCCTTTTCCAAAGTCACCTTCTATACAATACAAATGTACTGAGATTTTTTCACCCGTCACCTAAAAAAATCTAACCGGTGAATGATCCAGGGCGTTCAACAACTGCAGTGTGGAGCACAATTTCATCAAGTGCTCGAAAATTCTGCGATCGTTTGTGCCAATCTCGCATATCTGAGTGCATCATCCAAGGAAAGTATGTGAGTTTCACACTATTGATGAGGTTACTAATAATTCTTCGATAGACCATGTCCTGCTTGGGACTTATCAGTAAGTGAAGCCCTTGAGCTACCGTCAACCTCATGTTCTACCGGAACCCAAATCACGCTCGATTCGCGAAGTACACCCATTCGCTCTTAACGGAACCTCAACTAAATTCCAGCTGTATCTCTCGTTTATGCTATTCTTCAGCTGGGGTTCAGTCGAATCTCTTATGAAAACGCATTTTGTGTATATGTGGTTCACCTTGCCTCTCCTACGTTATCCTTCAACCACAGCATATTTCTGATTAGATAAATGCCGGTGAGAGTAAGGCCGTGTAAACAAAACAACCAAAAAGTCACTCAGCTCCTTCTCCGGCTTCTGTGTATTTGAGCCACTATGCATAGTTAAGTAGCGAACTATATGTTCTCTCACAAACTAGGGTTGTGGTGTCTATCACAAAGCTTAACACGGATTTTCCCAAACTTGGCTGAAAGTGCATTCAATTCAATGAATGGAGCTGTGAATAGGTTTTAGAATACAGTTTATTTTATCTCCCTAATTCTTCACAGTCGACAGCCACGGGACAATTCAAAGAAAATTTTTGTTTCAAGGAAATATGTTTTCTTCCCGTATTCTAATGCCAGAACATGTCGTTATTTGATTATCCATTTTGTCCTCTGGAAATGGGTCGGTACACGCTACTCGACTAAGGCGGCTTGCCTCAGCCAAGCCGCCAGAATGGGACAAACGGATTTGTGAGACTAAATTTCACTTCGATTCTACGGGCTGTTTTTCTGACCACCAGAGGTGGAGTTGACAACCCAGCTTAGTTTAGAACGGACTCAGACCAGATAGATACCGTATTAGTGCATGGCTGAGGATGGCCATAATACAACGCAGGAAATAAATGCACTTTTAACTGTCTTTCATGTGGTTGACAGTAGTTTACAGAAACGATTTGCAGCATGTATAAAATAAGGGACAATATTAAATGTGGAGCAAGTCAAAAAGGGGAGTTATCGGATGCGAGAGTCCCTTGGTGGAAGTCCGGACGGCGGAAACGTGTTTTTCTCCGCAGTTAGACTGCTACACGTACTCCATGGTTGTCCGTG